TGTTTGAGCCACTTTGGCATTTGGTATTTTGTTCATGTGAAACCTCTCTGGAAGTAACTCGTTCATATTCCTAAGGCAGGGTTTCTCAGCCTCAGCACTGTTGACATTGTGATCAGATAAGTGCTAGAGTGGGAGCTGGCCTGTGCCTTGTAGGATGTTTAGCAGCACTGCAGACCTCTACATATTAGGCGCTGGTAGCAGCCTCCTCCTCCCAACCTAGTTGTGACAACCAAAAATGTCTCTAGATCCTGCCAAGTGTCCCCTGGGGAGCAAAGCCACTTCCAAATTAGAACCACTGGGCACAGTATGAAAGGAATGCTTGTCATACACAAAATGTTATGTGAATTTTAGCCAAGAAATATCTCGTAAGAGAGTCAACTGTTCCCAGGAAAATAGTTTGTTAAAGAATTCATTCCCAGTATTCTCTTCTAGCCTTTGCAAAGCAGAATGCATATATAGCAGGTACAAATGGCATAAAGTCACGTGGTTAGAATTACCTTCGTTTTGTTATTATGGCTAACAGGTTCTGCTGAGTTTCTCTTTCCTGTTCCCCAGGAACAGAACAGCTATGCTTGAAGTTTTATTTGGATTTTTTTTTAATGTGCTGGTTATATGAAAGTCATTTTAAATCATGACAGATACATGGCAGGGTTTTTTTTTTAATATGCTGGTTATATGAAGGTCATTTTAAATCATGACAGATACATGGCAGGGACTGAGAAAGAAGAGTGATCTCTATCTCTGAGTCTTAGATGCAGTCGCAGCCTCTCTTGTCAGGGTGTAAGCAAGGGTTTCCTGTAAATTCATCTGGTTTATGTTTGGACTTGGGAAGAGCTTCTAGCGGAATACCAGAATTAGGGGATCAAGACAGTGTGCTGGTCCGTTCTTCCCAGGATATTGTTGGGGAAGATATACTCTCTGACTTTAGCAGCAGTATTGGAACTTGTTAGGAAGCATGAAATATCATTCTTGTTGGATGGCTAGGATTAGAGCAGATAGAATAAAAATGCATTCAATTTACCCCCAAGGTTCCCTCTGTTAGTATCAGTTTCCTTGGCTAGTTTCTTTATGTGTCTGCCCTCTGTTTTCCCCGTAGAATTTTCTGTAAACTCTGCCTATCAATCCGTCCTTATTGCTTTCCTTTTTAATACTCCAATTGGTACATTTTACAAAATAAACCAGCCACACTAAAATGCAATGCACAGTGCGCTCTGTTGGTGTAAGAGGCTGAAACTGGGTTTTTAATGAAAGTTAATCACCACGTGGGGAATGGGAAGGACTGTGTGTGGAATGGTCATGAGTGCCTCTCATGTGATTATGAGCCCAAAATACATCCTTCTGTTCAATGCCTCATAAGTAAGACTTGTCAAAGATAAGAGCTAAAGAAGATTTTTAAATGCAAACCATGATTTTTGTGGAAAAAGGGCTGTTTTCCCTAGTTACTAAGACCTATGCATGCTTAGAAAGCGTGTATTAGTTAAGTTTCCAGGAAGCATTTATAAATATGTGATGCTGGCCTATCTTCTCTGGATCCTCCCCCTGTTTCCTACAGGTTTAGGGGCCCATCTTCTATTCTTCCACCATCTTGGCACTGGCCAGCCTGTCCTGTAATCATTACTTATTTCCCAAGCTGCCCTGTGTTCATTGGTTCATTTAACCTATAGTTATGTATCTACTATGTCTCAGTCCCTGTTCTAGACAACAAAGTCAGTGTGTCCTCAACATTCTTGAAGCTGTCAGACTAGAGGGAAAAATAGTCAATGCATGCATTATATTAGTCAGCTCAGCTTCCATAACAAAATACCATTGATTGAATGGTTCTAAACAACAGAAATTTATTTTCTCACAGTTTTGGAGGCTAGAAGTCCAAGATCAGTGTCTGGCAGATTCCTTTCTGATGAGGACTCTATTCCTGGCTTGTAGATGGCTGCCTTCTCACTGTGCCTTCACGTGGCATTTTCTCCATGTATATGTGTGGAGAGAGAGAGAGATAGACAGAGAAGAGAGAAGAGAGAAGAGAGAGAAAGGGAGAGGGAGAGGGAGAGGGAGAGGGAGAGGGGGAGAGAGAGAGAGAGAGAGAGAGAGAGAGAGAGAGAGAGAGAGAAGAGAGAGAACTCAATAGTGTCTTTTCTTATAAGGACACTAATCCTTTCAGATCAGGACCCCACTCTCTTGAGCTCATTTTAATCTTAATTGCTTCTTTAGAGGCTCCATCTCCAAATACTGTATAACCGCACTGGGAGTTAGGATGTCGATACGAATTTTGGAGGGACATACATTCAGCCCATAAGATGTATCTAATTGTTTTTTTTACTAGTTCAGATAGTGATAAGAGCAATGAAAAAAAATTGTTAGAGGAAAGGAATAAAGAACAATGGGGACAGAGATGATGGCTACTACTTTAGCCACAGGCCTCTCTGAAGAAGTGAAAGTTGAGTGATATTAGTAATGAGTAAGAGGTAACCTTGGGGAGATTTAGGGAAGTGAACATTCTAGTTGGAGAGAATTATAAGGTCAGTGATCCAAGATGGGAGTGAGAATGACAGGACCATGGGACAAAAGAAGGTTTGTACAGTTGGATCCTAATTGGCTAGGGGGAGAGGAGTAAGAGAAAATATTAGAGAGGGCAATAGACTCGTTTTGCTAGCCAGTACTAAGAATTCAACTTTTATTCTCATTGCAATGGAAAGCTATTGGAAGGTTTTAGAATGATTCATGTACAGATAAGATTCGATTTCAATGGCTAAATAGAGAAAATCCAAGGAATGTTTTAGAGTCTTCCCCATCTTTGGTACACATAGTATATGCTCAATAAATTTTTTTAAACGTGGAAGTATGGCTGTTTTCTTACATAGTAATTGAGTTCTTTTAAACATCAGGTTTATTAGTTACAATTTACATAGAATATATATTCATTCTTTATAGTGTACAATTCTATGAGTTCTGGCAAACACATAGTCATTCAAGCACCAAACAATCAAGATATAGAAGAATTACATCACTTCCCCAAACTCCCTCCTGTGTTATTGTAGTCAACCCCTTCACCCAACCCCAGCCTTTGGCATCCACTGATCTCTTTTCTGCCTTTATCGTTATGCATTTTCTATATTGTGATAAAAATGGAACTATAAAATATAGAGTCTTTTGAGTCTGACTTCTTTAGCATAATCCACTCAAGATTCATCATATTAAATGAATCAGTAGTTATTTCCTTTTTATTGCTGAATAGCTGTCCAACATACAGATGTACCAGTTTGTTTATTGACTCAGTTAAAGGATATTTGGCTTGTTTCCAGCCTTTGGGGAGTATCAATAAACCTGCTATAAACATTTGCATTAAGGATTTTGTGCAGACATATGTTTTCATTTATCTTTAGTTAATATCTACCAGTGGGGCTGTTGGGTTATATGTGATGTGCATGTTTAACTTTATAAGAAACTTCCAACCTGTTTTTCACAATGGCTGTACCATTCTGCATTTCCACCAGCAATGAACGAGAGTTGTACTTTCTCTGATTTCCTGCTAGCACTAGTATTGTCATTTTATTATAAATTGCCCATTCTAATAGGTATGTAGTCAATAGATTTTTTTCAAACTGCACAACTATAAATTCGGAGGTCTGGTGGGTATGAATAGAAGGATTAAATGTGTAAGGAATAATTTTTAGCTATATCTTAACCAAAATAATATGATGTTATAATCCTTCTTGAGAGCTAGTAAAATAAATTTGACACTATAGTTCCACAATACTTGCTTGGAGACTCTTATAGAATATCGGCTAAAGAATTTACTCCTTAAATGGCAACCTTGAAGTCTAGCCTTCCTATATTCAATGTGAGATCTTGTGGAATGCATCCTTAGAAAGGTAACCCATGAGATTTTCTCTATTAAAATATCGGGGACTCCTGAGGTGTAATGAAGCTTTTGTCCCCAAAAGTCCAACCTCAGTCATACTTTTTTTTAAAAAATTAAAAGTAGTTGACTTTTACTAACAGTATGGCAAAGTAAAATAATGATTTCATTCTCCCTGATACACATTTTCCCAATATATCTTCCCATCAGTGAAATACTCAGTCATAGGCAACTCCATCATGGTTTTGTCTGTTCTTAGTCTGGCCACTCCAGCATTTCACTTACCAGGGAGACATGAAGGAGGAAACATGATTTTCAATCTGGCTGGAGAATTTGAGCACTGGGTACCTTGTGGATTCTAGGGCGACATCTGAGCAAAGATGGGTATGTCACTGATCTCAGTATCTAGAATCTATTCTTCAGTAGATCCCTAGAAGGATAATCTTCCTCTGATTTGTGAAGTCGTGATCTGCTCAGTATCATTCTACAATTGTTCAATGAAGAGGCATGAAGGACTAGAACACTCAATGCTTTTTACAGAGTCTACAGGAGTATATCACATACGTCCAGAATCTCCACCAACACCATGACTGCATCTCTACCTAGACACCAATTGTCCACTTCCCTTTTCACAGAGAAAGTATTTAGCTTAGATTTTGCATGAGGGTATGTTGCATACCTCACACAAGTTATCCAGAACTCTTGGAGCTGATTCTGTTTCTTCAATGAAAAGATATAGATGCAACTTGTGTTTATGTAACACCAGCCTCCTTTAGAAAGCTTGGTACTATCATTTTGCCCTTCTTTCCAAAGAACTTTAAAATGGCATCACCTTTCCAAACAAAACAGTGCCTGTTGCTTTTCTCCCCCTGTTGGTGAAAACACAGTTACACTCACCCGGCATAAGAGATTTTGTGTGGCCAATTTGATGAGATGACTCCAAGTTGTCATGTCTGTTCAGAACGACTTATTTCTCTTAGTGGAATCCAATCCAACAAACCTCCTGGATGCTCCTGTTCAGAGTTGGTGGGCGAACGTGAGGGTGGAACTCTGTCTTCCCCAGGAGTGCTTGGTAGCATTTGCTGAGCGGCCAGGCATTCGGCAGCTGTATGAACCTTCTTCTTTTGTTGTTGTTTTCTGTTTGCAGATTTTATTCTTCACCGTACAGTATTGCAACCAACCGCATGATTCCACAGACATCTATCACGCCATTCATTGCTGCTTCCCCTGTCTCCACATACCAGGTATGTCCGATTCCCCGCCCCTCAGGAGAGATCTCTCTTGCCAGTGATAATCGCCATAGAGGCCAAGACACAGTAGAACCTTTAAAAATCGCCCTCGCACACTTGACTCACGTCCTGATGTGGTAATGCTCAAATCACCAATTAGTCTACACTTTCAAGGGCTTGTTCGCATCTATTTCACTGAGTAGTAAAATCCACCGTGCTTTTCATTCTTCTGAGAGAACACCTGCTGAGTTTGTCATGATTATGCCACTTCCCAGACAACGTTAGTACCGCTGTCTTTCTTACCACCGAGAAATGATTTTGTTTGCTGTCTGTTATTTTGGTTGTCACGCTTCCCAGTGTGTCTTTTCTAAAAGCACATTCCTCGCATTCCCTGCCCTCACTCCGGCATGTTTTACCATTGTCATCTCATTTTGTCACAGTTGTCCTGTGTATCCATGTAAAACGACATGGACTGATGTTCAATCAGTTTCCCCAGGAAATAAGAAAAGATTATCAAAGTGGTAAAGAGTGATTTCTCCTGTCTGTTCTGACTTCCTATGTTCTCAGTTCCTAAAGAGCCCAAGGAGACCTCAGGGGTTCCACATGTTGAAACACAAGAAAATCCGAGAATCGGTGTGTGTCCTAAACCAGATGCTGTAGCCAGTTAACTCTATGTACACAGGTGGATTGAAATAGTCACACTTCTCCCTTAAAAACGACTTCTTGTCTTATTTCTTTTGACTTATCAACTATGTGATACCACTCCCTGCTTCTCTTTCCCTCATATTGTTCCTCAGACAAGTCTTCTTAATTCTAAAAAGAAATCGCTATCCATGTAACATAGAGCCTCTAGTGTCATTTTTTAAAACTCTGGAGAAAGAGAAAAGAGCGAGAGAGAGAATGCAAGAGCATGCACGCCATGTGTTTCTCTGTCTTGTGCAGATGGCGGGGGTGGGGGTGGGGGTTTTACAATGGGTAACCCTGATGCTGCTGACTGCTCCTAATTCAGTTAAGCGTCACCTTATTCAGCCACTACATACTTCATCTCGGGGCGCCCCAGTTGTCAGAGCATCAAACTCGAGACTACGCACATATTTCCTTAGCGGATCCCCCCCGACGCAGTTCATGTTCATTCATTTCCTGCACTTAGATTCTTCATACATGTTGGTGGGCGAACAGAATACACTTGCGTGTGAATTGCATCCGAGGGTCTCTGAATGGCTGACTTCCTAATTGCCTTTCCCTGGGACCCCCGAGGCCCCGTGCAGGTGCTGTTCCCTTTTCGTTCCTCAGGCAGGCCTGCCTGGTTGTAATGTGTATTTGGGGCTTTTTTTTTAACCTTTTTTTCCCCCCTAATCTTGGCCTCTGTTTCAGCCAAGACCACCCATTGAGCCCCAGTGTGGAGCACTTTGGTGACATGAATAAAACATCCACAGAAAAGTGACTTTACTTGGGAGGGCTCCTAAGTGGAATTTAACCCCAGCTCTCTTTTCTCATAAAAGGAATTAGAGCAATTTCCTATGTTGTTGATTCTTGCCTTTCAACACTTCTTCCTTTTTTTTTTTTTTAAATCTAAATGGCATTGGCAATTTTGCTTGTGTGAGTATACTGAAAACAAAATCTTTAAGGTTCTTTATGTGACAAACAGCTCTTCAAGTTGACGTTCGCATTTGGCTGACAAGGCCCATTTCAGAACAGTTGGCTCAAATACTCATTTATATTTACATACCAGTTACTATGAAAGAAAAAATATTACAAACTCGCTTAACTTGGGTAGATCCCAGAGCATTTTCCCCAATTTTTGGTTGATCTATTTAACTCTTACCCCAGCTTTTACCGCTTGGACTTATTTCCAAGATGAGAATCACTTGAGAATTTGAAGTTCAAACAAATGACAGAAAAAAAGGAAGTCTTAGCATAAACACTTGCTTCCTTAGTATTTGCCTGGGTATCCCTGAGAGTTGACCTTTAAATAGGAGGTCCCTGAGGCTACCTGATACTTTAGTCTCTAGCACCATCCTCAAAATATGCTCCAGGTCCCAGCCTGGTCCATGTGGGCACTGCAGCCAGCTCCAGTGAATCAGGAATTTGCTTTACATTTTATCATGTTTCAGGGACCAAATGAATCAGGTCCAAGAATGTGCTTTCTATCCTTAGTTTTGAGCACTAATTAGCTCAAAATCAGATGGACTCCACTTTTTTATGATCAAGTGTGACTCCACTGAACGCAAGAACCAAGTTCTCTCTGTGATTGCTTTGTGCTAATAAATGCTGTTTGATGCATAGGTCCAGAGTACTTCATGGATGCCTCATCCGCCATACGTTATGCAACCAACAGTAAGTGTTCTCAGTCACCTGAGGCTAAATATTTCTATTATCCAAGTGCAAGCTTTTGTAATGCATAGAAGCTTTGGGGTAAAGCTTTTGTTATATTTTATACCTCTTTCAGGCAGCCATATTTTCCAGATAAAAGCTGTTCCTGAAATTCTACAAAAGCATGTACAATAGATAGAGATAGATGAGATAGAGATAGATAGAGATAGAGATAGAGATAGAGATAGAGATAGAGATAGAGATAGAGAAACTTGCTTGGAGGAAGTATCAGTCATAACAGTCAATCTCAAAAATTGATGTCTACTATTTGTTATGAATAGGGAATTTCTACTTCATGCAGGAACTCTGAGCTCTAAACAAGTAAATCCATTATTGGAGAAAAGCCTATTTTCCTTCTCCTTCTCCTTCTGTTATGCTTTGTTTTCTTCAAATGCAGCTTGGTGTGCTTTGGGAGTGAGTTTCAGGATCACGGCCAAGTGTTATCTCAAAGCAATATATTTAAAATAGGAAGTTCGTTGTCTATTAATAGATGGAAATATATAGATAGATAGCAATGTTGCCAGGTAATTTTTATATTAACTAACTAGAGGCCTTCTCTTCTTCTTTTGTGGAAAGTATCTTCCAAAAATATTCAGACTCTATTTTCTACTTGCTAGATTTTCCATTTTGCGAAACAATATTACATCAGTCCCAAATGAAAAATATTACATATTCCATTAGAACCTTGACTGAAGGCTAATGATTTCATTTGTCTTTGTCTAGTTCTTCCAGGTTTTCTAGCTCTGTAGAAGTACAAGATAGATTTCGATAGCAATACACTCATGGGAGTGTGAGTTAGGGGAGGAGCCTGAGACTGAGAGCTGTGTGACACGGCCTCTGGTGTGCTCTTCTGGGTATGCTCACATGTGTGCCTTTGTTTCCTTACCTGTCACTGTACTTGGCAGGGTGTGGGGGAGAATCAAGAGCATATGTGAAAATAACTTTTTAAGTATGACATGCTATACATTATTATTACCATTATCCTTATTATTATTAGATCTATATATTGTGCAGAGAAGAAACAATGCTATATTTTTAGTCTTTTAAAAGCTAAATATGAGTAAGGTAGCACATATTAATGACCAGGAACCTAAATGCACAGGCATCCATTTCCTGGACTCAAAGGATCACAGCACCTGGTTTTCATACTTGAACTTCCTCCACTTTTTACAAATAAGGAACATTTCATGTTGCTCCTAATGTTTTGATAGTTTGTTTTTTATTTAAAGAATAAAATATATGTAGCCTACTACAGCAGAACTTTAGACCATATTTTGCAAATCCTTCTCTTTGCTCTTATTTCCACACCTTGAGGGCTTCCTGAGTTCATCTGGCGTAAGTTCTATAAATCATACCAACATAGAATGAATCCAAGATACACTTTTCTGTCCAAGTCATGAGGCAGAATTCAATATATGCTGCCAAACCAATGTATAGCACAGTCTGAGCCAACACAGGAAAAGAGAAGATGTTCTGCCAAGTTCTAAAGAGTAGACTTTTGAGAAAGAAACAACTACCTTCAAAAAAAATAGTGTGTTCATCTATAGAGCACTAATGCTAGCTTAGTCCTCACACTGAGGTTAAGTATCATCTCATTGTGGCCAAAAGGAATGCACATCTGGCAAGAAAATCTGAATATTTTGCCAGATGTCAAAGTATGCGAGACTTTACAGTATTTCTAGAGCTGTGAGGAGAAGAGGAGATGTTTGTATGTGTCTATTTCAGCTATCACTCAGGACCTTAGAAATTTTTCATTATCACCTCCTCACCCCAGCAGAGCTTCAACCCCATTTTTGAATGCATTATTTCTTATATATCTTACTCTAGCAATCGGGATGTGTGTGTGTGTGTGTGTGTTGGTGTTGGTTCATTCGCCCCCTTGGATCTTTCTTGCTATGGCTCAGTGATATCTTATCACTCCCCATGACCAGACTGTGCATCATGTTTGAACTTAGGTCACTTGGTTTAAAATGTAGTGTCTGTGGCTGGGGCAAATTCCTAGAAAAAGGAGTGGCTGGGCCACCCACCACTTTGTTGTCTTTAACATGGAAAAATGGGCTGAACAGTGTCATGGAAACACAGAGTTTATACCACAATATTTGCCCAGCAACAGCCTTACTGGTTGTCTAGATTGTATAAATCACCCAACTGGTCTTAGCTTCATCATCAAAGTGAGAGTTAAGTTAATCACTCTAAGTACAAAAGTGCTTAAGCAACATAAGGCAATGAAACAAAATACCTGAATCTAAAAATCTATTTATTTATATAAATAAATAAATAAACTGCACATTATGCCTTAGATTAACCCAATTAAACAAAATGAGTATTAGTATAGAAAAAAATTAAGAATACACAATGATTACCTATTTCTACCACATTCATACTATGAATTTAGTGGAGACACCTCTGTGGTTATGCAGAAGACAAATTGCTTAGATTGGGACTTCATTTACTTACTGAACCATTCAATACCTGACACTTTGAAAAAAGGCTCATGGCCCTAGCTGGTTTGGCTCAGTGGATAGAGCATCGGCCTATGGACTGAAGAGTCCCAGGTTTGATTCTGGTCAAGGGCACATGCCCTTGTTACAGGCTCGATCCCCAGTAGGGGTGTGCAGGAGACAGCTGATCAGTGATTCTCTCTCATCATTGATGTTTCTATCTCTCTCTCCCCCTCCCCCTTTCTCTCTGAAATCAATAAAAAAAAAATAAAATAAAAAAATAAAAAAGGCCCATTGATCCCTGGCCATTTGCTCAGTGGTTAGAGCAGTGATGGCGAACCTATGACACGCATGTCAGAGGTGACATGCTAACTCATTTTTTTGGTTGACTTTTCTTTGTTAAATGGCATTTAAATATATAAAGTAAATATTAAAATATAAGTCTTTGTTTTACTATGGTTGCAAATATCAAAAAATTTCTATATGTGACACGGCACCAGAGTTAAGTTAGGGTTTTTCAAAACGCTGACACGCCGAGCTCAAAAGGTTCACCATCACTGGGTTAGAGCATCAGCTCTTGGTCCAAAGGTCTCGGGTTCAATTCCCAGTCAAGAGCACATGCCTCAGTTGCAGGTTTGATCCCCAGCCCAGTTGGGTGTGTGCAGAAGGCAACCAATCAATGTGTCTCTCCTGCATCTATGTTTCTCTCTCCTCCCCTCCCTTCCACTCTCTCTTCCTAAAGATCGATGGAAAATACATATCCTCAGGTGACGATTTTTTTTTTAAAAAAAGGCTCATTGAGTACCTCTTGGAATCTACCAATAGATTCAAGGTATCAGTATCAACAGCTCTCAAATATGTTGCCCTAATTCAGATTCGCTTCCAGCTTTTCTATTCTCTTGCATTTTCTCTTCCACCGTTTTAAGAAAATCTCATCTATAAGCTCTAAGTGTTACAGTCATATTTCCCCGCCATCACTAGGAATGCGACTTCCTTATTGGAGCCCAAAGCCTGGCAGGTTCTTGTTTAGTCTTGACTCAAAGGACTCTGAGATCTTAACCAGGTTTCTGGGTGCTTGTGGACAGTTTGAAAGCAGCCTCTGGTCTTCATCAGGGCCAAAAAGGAGTAGCCACATCTGTAAGAGAGAAATAAACTGATGCAAAGAAGGAGAGGGGTCGGTAGTCCAGGGATGAGAGAAGAATAGAAAGCAGAGCATAGAACTGAAGCTTGCCATTTAAGTTTCCTTCTTCAGAGACTGAATTTTCTAAGTTGCATGTAATGTACTTTTCCCTACTTTTAGACATAAGATGCTGAGAGGCTTTTCACGTTTGTGAAAGGGGGGATAAGTCTCCTTGGCTGCATTACAACCATCACACTGGTGTTGGTGCAAGAAAACCAGTGCTCTGTCATTTACCGGCCCCTGATCGGGTCCCTTGGAAAGTTGTCAGACCCCACTTAGGGCAGCAAGAGTGTTTGTGTTTGCACTTTGTTGAAATTCACCTGAGCAGACACTGAGGAGCGAGCACTGTTGGAGGAAATTAGGAATTTGCTTTTTGCTGCGAGGAAGTAAAAATGCTGACTTTGTCAACGCCATCAGCTATTTGTCCCTGCTTCTCCGAGCAGGGTTCTGTACTATACTCTCACGCTGACAGAATTTTAATAGATGATGGATTGCACCCAGTATCTGCTCTGCATAGCAGCATGTCACAGTGGAATCTCAGATGGATTCACAATTGAAATTCCTGTGTTGCAAGATGCCGGATATTTTGTTAAAGCTGTGCTGACAAGGAGAAAAGATGAGCGTTCCCAAGAAGGAGCCTGGTTCCATCTTTTGAAAATTTTATTTAGGGTCTCGTGACTCGTAAATCTCCCGTTCTTCACATGGGCAGCATTACTTCCTCTTGAGGAGAAAGGCCAGCTTTCATTGTTACTCAATTACAAATCGGTTATCTAATTACAGCATTGTAAGAAATGCTGGATGCCCTCATTGAATCATTGCATGATTTGTTGCTTTGCTTGGCTAAATAATGATTTTTGATAAACCATAAGTTCACAGCTAAAGAGTAAATACAAACTCTACAAGGCTGAGCAAGGAAACTCCAGAATACTTGATTTGGTCCTTTTATTCCCCTGCACACTAGTATGACCTGAGGCTTAATTTTAGAGGTGTGTCCCCCAAGTTGGCAGGTGTATGTTCTGTAAAAGCACATCACCAAATTTGGAAAAGAGTATTTAAATCCTTAGAATTCTGTTCAGAAAGCAAGGTTTTTGATATTCTCCTTTTACACCAAGACCCGAGCTGAGCAAAAATCCTAACCCTCATAGTATCATTATCAAAGTCGATGCTTTTGCTCTTTAAGTAGTTAACCAGGCAAGCATATCTCCAGGCCAGGTTGTGTTTTTTTAAGGACTTAGCAAAAAGAAAATGATAGCAACTCTAACCCATATGTACCATCATAACAGCAGATAACTCAAATGAGTGAGAATAAATTTGGGAGGAGCAGCTTCTTTTGAGTATCACCT